TCAGAGTTGAATTCAACTATTTATATCAGTTTAATTGCAGAGATCACAGAGAATGAACTATCTGAAACATTCACAAATACATGAAATCAAGTCATCTCAATCTCTGAGAATGCTCAGAGATCAGATGAGATTAGTTTTAATAAGCTATTCACTGTAGTGATCTGAGCAGGTAAAGAGAGACAGTATAATATATAAGACAGAATCATAAAAGATGAAAGCTGCTGAATCTAGTTACTGAACACTGTATTATATAGAGATTGTGTAAGAGTAGTGACTAGCAGATAAAGAAAAAGTATAAGAAAAGAAATAATGAATTGATCATCAATTATAAGAGTCAGCTGTAAAAGATAAATATTATCATATATATCTTATTCATTTTTATACATCATATATTTAATCTATTTTCAACACCACATCATCTGAAAAATGTTAAAAATAAAGGAAATCTTAAAACTTGAGATCTGTAAGAGATTCAAGAGCTGTAAGTCACTTTTATAACAACACTGTATACATCTCTGATTCCTCTATCACTCTGTATATGACATTAATGTCATTTATCACAAGATTGACTGGAATGCTAATATAGAAATGTGTACATGTACATGTAGAAAAATTGAAGAAGAGCACAGAACCCGCAGAATCAGAAGTCAGAGCAGAGAGAGTGAAGATAGAAGAAATGAAAGAAGAAGATGCAGAATTAGATAAATAACAGTGAGAGTCATCTGAAGCTGAATACTTATAACTCAGTGTACACACAATCTTCTCTGCAGAGAAGGGAGAGAAAGTGACAAGAGAAGCTTGAGAGTGAGAGAGAATAGTCTCAGCAGTGTTATCATCTTCAATCAGAATAATCTCTGACACTGAAGCAACTAAGAATCATTGTTAGCATATGAAAATCACAAAATCAAGAATGAGAACAGTTACTGAATGAACACTCACTGATCTTAGAGTTGTATATACAATTACAACACATACAAGGCTTCTCAGAAAGAAAGAGAGAGATATGAAGAAATGCAGAAAGCAGAACACAGCATATGAACAGCTCATTCTCATAATAATACTTCAGACAAGATATATAAGTCTCACACTTATAAGTGTAAAAGAGTATAACATTCATATTCTCATTCTCAAAAACACAGATATCTTTCACCTGCATTACAAAGTCAGATGACAGATATCAGAGTATAGACTGATATAGATCTATCATTTTAAAGAAATTCATTAGAGTAGATATCTCTGTGATATTAAACTTTACAGTTATAAAAAGCTTCTTGATATCTGTAAACACTATAACTTCATACACAGTAAAACTCATAATGATTTCTTCTAAGAATAGAAAAATCAGTATCAGAAAGAAAAGATGAAAAAGAAAAAGACTTATAATCTTAACACTGTTGAGAAGAGAGATGATTCTCTGATATGAATAAATAATTATCTTATTATGAATATTTAAAATAAATATAATAATCAGTATCTGTGACTGAGCTTCAGATAGTCATGTTATACACAGTCTTTATATAATAAATCATTCTGAGAGTCAGTAAGAAGAGTGAAAGTGTACATGCTGAGAGATGTAATTCATTAAGTCTATACAACATCTTCTTGAAATGAGAAGAGCTGATAATGAAAGCAGAGACAGTAAAATCAGAAGTAGCAGAAGTAAGAGTCACAGAAATAGAGATAGCAGAAGCAGGAGAATCAGACACAGAGATAAGTGTAGAAGATTAAGAGAGAGTAGCAGGAAAAGAAGCAGCAGAAGAGATAGAAAAAAACATGAGAGACTCAGTTACATATAATACAGACAATTTCTTCATTATTATATTCTTCAAGTTCTCAATCAATAATTTAGTATCAGATTCACTATCATCAGTGAACACAGATCTGTCAATATATGAAGATTCTATATAAATAAAAACAAACATATCAGCATCTGCATTCATATAAAATTATACCAGAAAACATGATCAGAAACTCACTGAAGAAAATAGTCAGAGATGTATAAGAAGATGAAGAAGATGTGTCATTCATAATAGTACATTCTGGCAATTATTAGAAGATAAACAAGTTCTGGCCATATACATTTCACAACATATTACACTTACTGTTAATGAACTGCTCAGTATGAGCACTATAATAATGCTTATTATAAGAACAGAGAGTCATTATCAGAAACACATACTATTATTATTATTATTATTATCCTTTCATTATACTCATATGCAAGCGGAGCTTATAATAAGTCCTTGCGTGATGTTAAATACAGGTTAAGTGTTGATTATACAGGAGGAAATACAGGTATTGAGATCACATCAAGATAACAAGAACATAGAAAATACAAAGAAGTGACAATTAAATACATGCGATAATAACTTCTCAGCTCAGAAACATAGAGCAATTTTATTGAAGCGATTTGTACACCTTGTATTTATTAGAAACCTGAGGTGCTTGAGTTCCGGATTTAATGTATTCTCTGCGGGTTTCGAACCCACACGCCCTGGTTTCCCACGCCAAGGCGCTACCGGGTGGCCGCATTAACCATTCGGCCACCGGGGCAGAAACACATACAATGTGATAGATGAACAGATGAAAAGAGTTGAATAGAAGAAGAAGTAGAAATCTTGAATAAGATAGTGATATTTGATAATAATGATAATAAAGAAGATGATTGAAGAATGAGAAAAGTTAGTAAATAAGTAATGTAATATAGTGAAAGTTTCTTTATAAGAGTATATACAGAACACTAGTCAAATCAGAGATAGATTACATAATTATAAAACACTAGTGACAAGCTAATCTGCATGAAGTTAGAGTGTATGATATGATCATATGAGTGTGACTGAATCTGATGAGAGAGAATATGATTCAGAAGAATGTACAATTATCAGATAATAATACAGCTACTTCTGAACTAGTGTATAAATGTAAAGAGAGTCATAGCAGTCACTAATTAATTTAGTGTATGATATTACAATATATAAGAAGCCGGCGTACGTCTGTAATCATACGCTGACTTAAGCAATCTTTGAATCACACTGCATTTCATCTGCAGACAGATGATCAGACTGAACATCAGAATCAAACACTAGAACAGCATCTTTAAGTATTCTATTTATATTATCAGAATGATTGACTCAAATATCTTCTAATTACTGAATTCATATATAACAATGTAAAGAATGTAATCTTAAAGATATCTTCTTTCTATACTTATTATGAATATAATTCTTCATTACTCAGTGATATCACAGATAATATTTCAAAGAGAGAAATAGATAGTCAGAATATTAGATAGATACAGAGAATGAAGTATTTCTCAGTATCAGAAGTAAAAGTAAGATTAAAACTTTTAAATAAAATTTATAAGATTAAAGAAGGTGATGAAAAGCATTTACTATACTTAGAAGTGATAGATGAAATACTATAATTGAAAACATCTTTCAATGAAGTTTTTGATAGAGAATTAAGTACTACTTTCAGTAAAGAATATCAAGACAATGAGACTGTATAAAAAGCTTAATAAGTAGTGACTAGAATCTTTCTCAGTAATAAGAGTGATGAGTAAGCAGATATATGAGTTAAAATTATTCACAGAATTGAAATTAATTCATTCTATTTTTCATATTTTCTATTTAAAGCTCTATAAGCAATGCTCTGAGATAAAGTCATCTCAGTCAGATAGTATTGAGATTAAGAGTGATACTGAATATCTTATAAAGAAAATATTGAATAAGTGAATATATTATGATAAGCTTCAATATCTTATTAAATAAAAAGATTATTTATTATCAGAGAATTTATAAGAACTGCTTAAGTATTTGAAAAATACTGAGAAAGAGATTGCAAGCTATGAGATAGCTAGTAGAGACTGTCTTATTATATATCAGAGACATTGAGCAAGAAATACTACTTAAGACTTCTTGTTTTTCTCAAAGAGTTTTTTAGAGATGATCTTACAGTGATGAGCTGATATCTTATAGACTCTGTAACACTCTTCTTCTATTTTCTCTCAAAGAGTTTTTTAGAAGTTTAATGAGACTATACAAGTGTAAAATTTCTGAAGCAGTTAATAAGAAAAGAAAGAGATATTTAAAATTAATAAAAAAGATTGATATTATCAATCTGTGAGTCACTGCTATTCTAATGAGATCACAGCCTGCTGAAAAAGTAAAAAGAAGAAATCTCAGAGCTTACTTATTAATAATCACACTCTCATCAAACTTATTCTTCACTGTTGAAGTCTCTGATATCAGTATCTTTATCTGTTGAGAAGTTAGTACTGCAGCACTGTAGAGAAGTATACTGTAGAAGAGTATAAGAAATACTTAAAGTATTAATTTATCAATTTATAAAGCATCTCAGTTATCTGCTTTAATTAAAGTGAGATTTTCTTAAATCAGTGATTAATCTCTGTGATACTTTTAACAGCAGTACTGACTGATTTCTTCTTGAGATTAGTCATTCTGAGATGTTTTTTCATCTCAGAGATTCATGCTTTTATCTTCTTTTACAGATAAGTAAGAGAAATCTTCTCAGTCTTAATAAAATCTATTAATACTTAAAGCTCTGAGACTCTCACTCTGTACTACTTGAGTATCTAGACTTCTTATTAGAATTGATATAATATCTTTCTGTAAGATAATACTTATAGAGAGATAGAAGTTATTATTACAGATATAATGAAAATAACAGAAGTAAGAGAAAAAGTAAATGTATAAAATTCTTCTCTTCTTCAGCTGCTTAACATAGTGTAGATAAATAGTAATATCAGTCAGAGACTGCACTGAAGTCTTCTTACAGAAAGAAGACAAAGAAACTGCAGAATTCTACAGACTCAATTCAGCAGTATTCTGAGCAGAGCTCAGACATGCTGCAGAAGAGAAACTATAGATTAAGCTTTTCAGAGTCACTATCTCTGAAATCAAGCTCTCTCTGAGTTTCTCTCTGAATGATCACACGAGTCATATATCACTGTATTAATTGAGAGAGAGGGCAGCATTGCAATGGCGATGAGAGAGGCAGAGAATAGACTGAATACAGATGCATTAGCTGGCAGAAGAGATGACATCTCACTGCAAGGCATGACAACTACTGCCACAGCTGTGAGAGAAGCAGGAGAAGAAGAAGAAGAAGAAGATGTGATAATAAAAGCAGTGCTTCTGCGGCTCATTGATACTGTTATCTTCATCTTCAACCTGGCTTTCTTAGCAGTCACAGAGACTGTCACTGCATCACAAAGATGTTTATTCACTAGAAAATGTCAGAATAAGCTCTTTATTATTCTTCAAGAATGATACTCTCATACACTTACTGTTACAATTGAGAGAAGAAAAAGAAAAATATTTCATAGAGAAGAAAATCTTTTTGAAAAAATTCTGTCACTACTGTTAACTTTATCTCTAAAATACATTACTTTTGCAGAGAATTTTATATATAGAATGAAATATATTAAGAGATCTGTAAGTCACTTATTAACTATGTTTTTCATATTTTAAATTGATATATAAGAAACTCACTTATCATGTGTTTGATTTGAATGAAGATGAGAAAAGAAAGATCTATACAGTCAGCAGAAAAACTCATCTATTTCTTTATATTATATACAGCACATGCACTGTTAAATCAGTTGATAACTATTACTATACAATAAAGATAATTTCTAATTCAGTAATCTTAAGAGTATCAGAACTATACTTTTAAAGAGAAGAATATTATCACACTCTCAGCTGTATTAAGATCTTATTATGATTTTACACAGCTCATTACTTTCATGTGAATAATTTCATTCTATCTGAATCAGTTTTCAATCACTTCATAACATCATTCAGATATATCATAGAAAGATTCAATTAATAAATATAAGAATCTCACTTCTATATAAGATCAGCAGATTACTCTTTCTTGATAATAAGATATCACTGAGATATCACTTCAGCTATTCTCACTTATAAAATGAGAGAAGAGTATCTGCTCATTGTCTATATAGAATAGCTAGATGCTGGCTTCTTATCAAAGAAGTCAGTGATTTATTTCTTTTTCTTCTACTGAAATATATATGAGAGTTACTGCACATCTCATACAATCTTCTTAGTATACTAAGTATTATATCTGTGATATTCTTGTAATAATTCTGTAGCCTATGAGCTCGCTATTCAAGCAAGATATTCAAGCTCACTTATATAACTTCTTAAACAACTACCTCTACGTGACGCTGCTGACTAGCCACCGCTGCGGTTCCGTCATGTTACAGATACTGAGTTCTTAGATAGAAGCTTACTCATCAGTCACTCTGATCTCATAATAAGATCTTATAAAGAGAATGTCAGTGAAAGATCTGAGAGTTCTGATCTCAGATGTATAAGATATTTATATAATTATACATTCAATAATTGATATAATCATGTCTAATGATAATATAAAACTCTTGAATGTGAGTATAGATATAATGTCACAGTAACTCTGAGCAATGTTGAAATTATAATAATAATAAATAGCTGATATGCATGCAACTTAATAACATTAATATGAAGAGATTCAATAATTATTACAATAAGAAACTCATGCAATTTCAACATCTACAGAATCAAATAAAAAAGTACTGAAAGAATGCTTAGATACTTTTATATATTTCAATACTTTCAATCTCACTCTCTACTAGACTGGCCGCTGAGATTATGAATTTCACGTTTGATCTTATTTGATCTGATCTCATACATTTCTTGACGTGAATCCCGCTGGAACTGGCTATCAAAAAAACATGTAAAGTGACTATATATCAGATCTTAAAATGAAATCATGACTTGAAAAAAATGAGAAAGTGATCTCATTTGATTTCATTTAGTCTCATTCTTAGCATAAAGTTGCTATTTTTAGACATTTTAAGGTTTTTTTTAGACTATTTTTAATTTTTTAAAAAGTAACACTTTTTGATAACACTCAAATGAGATTTAAAGTCATTTAAAGCAATAAAAATAATTTAAATTGAGAAGTGGAAATCATGATCTCATTTGAAAAATGTGATAAGAGTAGACAGTAAGTCTCACTGAGACAGTATGAAACTACTATCTAATGTTAAAACTGTGTAATGAGATCAGTTGAATTGATAATGAGACTATCAAAAAATCTGATCCTGATCTCAGATACAGTCACACGGTCAGTCTACTCTCTACTTATTATGAAGAATGAAGATGCTTATGAAACTAAGTGTAGATGAAGATGTCATCAGTTCATTAATCAATCAAGATTAATATATTAATGAATAATTAAAGAATCACATGAAACAGAAGTTTCATTTATAAATGAAAGTATATGAATCAGTGTTATGAATATCTGATAATATTATTAAATATCTTGATATTCTGTTCTGAGACACTGTCATACAATAGAAAGTATTAGATTAATTACAGAGTGTCTAACAGAGAAATACTTCTCTTATAACATTTATCTCTGACTTTAACATTAAGATTCTAGAAGCAGATAATCAATCTTGAGAGAATTGAATGAAGATTAGCATGCTTAAGAAGACATTAACTTTTAAACTCTTACAGACTCTTGAAAGTGTAGATAAAGACCAGACTTATAAAAACTTCTACACACAGCTTTGAACATTGAACAATCATCTTATCAAGCTCAAGAGTATATAGAATAGTGGCAGAAGATATTATATCTCAGTCACTTATACATCTGTGCTGAAGAATAACAATGATGCAGATGCTATGAATTAAGTAGACTCAAATGTCTATATATAAATAAGAGTCTCTGTTATCTGAACAAGCTTTTAAGTTTCTGAAATCACTTCTGAAGAAGTCACTGATCAATATTAATATAAAGTATGCATTAACTGTAACTGAACAGAATATATCACTTTCAACTGTTAATTAGCTCATGTACTCTCTTAATCAAGAGAAAGATCAGTGTCTTCTCATTCAAAGAATGAATCAGTATCTGTTCACATCAATCACATTGCAGTGAAAGAAGATTCAGAAGATAACTATAAGAATGTCTTAATAAAACAGAGAAAAGATTAGCTTCTGTTTAAATTCATAAACAGAAGCTTGAAGAGATCAGATAATAACAATTTAAAGAGAAAATAACAATAAATGTAATTCTTATATCTACTGTGATTAATAACATGTATAATATGAAAGTTATGATAGACAGCAGTCTATGTCATTATACAATGATTAAATCTTCAATTGTAAGATGTTATAATCTTCAGTACATTCTCTTATCAAGATCTTAACTTCTCACAGAATTTGATAGTTTAAAAGATATTCACACTCATTACATGATGAAACTAAATATAGATATTTGTAAGAAATCCCGCTCCTCGCGGATTCTTTACCTCTATTCCTATCTCTCGCATAATCAATAGAGCTAGCGGCTCTTGACTACACACAACTATATAGACTGAAGTTCATGAATACTATTTATAACTCAGCTTGAATACTATTATACATTTAACTTCTACATTTTATCTTTCTATCATGAATACTTCTAGTAGTTAACAGTATATATCATGTCAAGCTGTAAATACCTGAATAATCGCCTGTGAGCACTTATTCTTACATTTCAAGCTCAGTCAGTTAGCAACTATCTGTTATGACTGAAAGAACTAGAAACTTGTATACTTCAATCTCTGTGAACTCTACTGCAGACACTCAGAAGCAGTCATCTGAATCATGAATAATCTCTGTGAAAGAAGTCTCAGAGAACTTATCAATCACTCACAGAACATCATTCTCTGCATCTATAACAGAGAAACTCTTTGAACTCATAAATGAATCAATCTTAGTGAAGAATATTCTTGAGCATCTCTTACAGAACTAAGCTATTTTTCTATAAGAAATACTTACTGTCTGCAAACATTCTCAAACTGAGTCTCTAGATATAATCTTCAGAGATATCTGTGAACTGAAAAAAAACTTTCTTAAGCTGCAATCACTTAAGATCATCTATTAAATCACAATCTATAAAAGCTTTTGCAAGTTTGTATTTGAAATTGACTTACAAGCTCAGCTGTGTGATATGAAAGATGAAGAAGCTGTTATCTATATAATAACAGATCTCTATTACACTGAAGTCAAGAACTGGCTGAATTATCTAGAGAATAATCATGAGAGATTCTACTGATCTGTTCTTAAGATTTATCTGAAGAATAAGTTGAGAGACTCTGTGAGCTGAACAGAGAATATCTGAGCTGTGATCATCAATATTAGAAAAAGAGATGAGAAATCTGATAAAGACTACTTATGACACTTCATGAAATTATAATATGAATTAAAGTCTGTGAAAACAGAGCTCTGAAACAAGATCTGAATGATGATATTTGTAAAGAGACTGAATAAAGATATATAGAACAAGCTCATTGAGTAAGACTTTAAGTTCTTAACTCTGAAGAAACTGATGACTCTCATTCACTGCTTGCAGATCACTATGAGAGTCACAGACTTATAGAGAGTAGATCACTGACTGATTCTGCAAGAGTCAGAATAATAGAGAACAGATTTATCAGAAAAAGATGATAAGATATAGAGAGATTTGCATCTGACTACTAAGTAGAGAGAGAGAGCTTCATAAGCTTCTGTAAATAGAGTGTATAATAGAGAGATTAAGAAAAAGAGACTCTGCTTTATCTATTCTAAATCAGAACATTTCTGTGCAAACTGTCTGAACAAATTAAAATAGAAATTTGAGAAGTTATAAACAGAGTCAGTAACAGCCTTCTTAAGAGTCTTAAAACTGATATCTGAATCTGTTGCTCTCTCAATGAAAATGCTTGCTTATGAGAAGAGACTGTGTCACAGTACTGCTGTCTCACAAGCATGAAAAGCATTGATGAACTCAGAATTCCAGGTCACTGTAATGTCTCTAAAGCTTGTGAAGTGTATAAGCTGAAAGATGAAGACTGAGAACCTGCTCTTATAATAAGCAGAGTGTGAGAACTCAGACCTGAGAACTGAGAGACTTATAAGAGTCATCTTTGAATTACAAGATCTCTCTGAAATCTGAAGAAGATTTATAAAAACTATGATTATCACAGATATCACAGATGACATGTATTTGAAACTTATATAACTTTAAAGACATAATCTGCACATAGCTGTTTATAAGTCAGGTTTATACTTTCAATCAGTATTAACAGACTCACTTATGAAGATAGAATCAGTTGATACTATAGAGTTGATTAGAGAAGACAAGCTTATCTATATAATAACTTTACAAGTATCTGAGAATCTCACAGTCATAGAAACTGAGCTTCAGATATCAGAGAAATACTGAGATCTCATAGAGA